GGGCTCAGCGTGCAGTTCATTCTTTCCAAGTAGAGGTTCTGGATGAGAAAGAGTCATCTACCATTCATCTCTTGTGTTTAGCACAGTGCCTGGGACTTAGAAGGGCTTTGGTAAATGAATGTGCGTATTTAGAAGATTCTGGGGGAAGCTGCCAGGGTAGCCTTGGAGCACATTGGTGTTGCAGGGTTGTGTTTGTCAGGACTCTTGGTGGTGGTGTTGAAAATATGCACGGCGGAACATACATCGATTCAACAATTTCTACATTTGTCAGGACTCCTGACTGCAAGTGACAGAAACTATTAAACGAAAGGAGACTTTATTGGAAGGACGCTGGAGGAAGTGGCCAGCCACGCCTTGGGAAGGGCAGGATGCCTGTGGGCTTCATGAGCCCGGCAGCCACGGTCACAACTATTCCAGGACTTCTCATCACCTGTATCACAGCACTGCTTTGCTCTTGCTCAGTGCAAGACCAGGTGCATCGGCTCTTCTGATGAGCAGGAAACAAGGCTGTAGATAGGGCCAGAGCTGCTTGTGTCAAAGCTTTGCTACCTGGGGAGAGTTCCAGATGCAAAATCTCTAGAAAGGACCGTGGTTGACATAGGTCAGCCAACCAAGGTCCGAGGCCCAGGGGACTGTATAAAATGGCTCCACAAGAGGTGTTCCTGCGGGGGAGGGGGACATGAGGCAAAAGGCTGTCCAGACAATGTCTACGCTTGGTCGGCTGGTAGAGATAAGCTCTGCTGAGTGAATTATCATTCAGGTAGATGAAAGGGATTCCCACCAGTTATAGAAGAAATGCGAAACTTGACGGTTCTTTGAAGACCTAAGTCCACGTGGAGTGCTGGAGATTTGTGCTGCAGAATGAAGATCCGCTTATTTGTGAGTGGGAGTGTAAGAAGTGTATGTATATATGTCCTTGCTCCGTCAGCAGACATTCAGCAATCAGGATTTTATATTCGAGAGAGAGAGTGGAGATAACTCAGTAAAAATTGCTAACATTTTCCCAGCCCGTCTGGAGCAAGGGAGAATGAAGAAAACCAAAGACACAAGGGAAAGATTAGTCCAAAGGACTAATGGGCCACAACTACCACAGCCTCCACCAGACCAAGTCAAGTACAGCTAGATGGTGCCCGGCTACCACCGCCAGTTACGCTGACAGGGATCACGATAGAGGGTCCCGAACAGAGCTGGAGAAAAATGTAGAACAAAATTATAACTCACAAAAAAAGACCAGACTTACTGGTCTGAGACTGGAGAAATCCTGAAACTATGGCCCCGGGACACCCTTTAACTCAATGCTGAAGTCTCCTGAGGTTCACCTTTCAGCCAAAGATTAGACAGGCCTACAAAACAAACAATAATACACGTAGTTCAACCATCTATATGAGACTGAATGGGCACACCAGCCCAGGGGCAACGATGAGAAGGCAGGAAGGGACAGGAAAGCTGGATGAATGGAAATGGGGAACCCAAGGTCGAGAAGGGAGAGTGTTGACATGTTGAGGGGTTGGCAAGCAATGTCACAAAACAGTAGGTGTATTAATTGTTTAATGAGAAACTAATTTGCTCTGAAAACTTTCACTTAAAGCACAATATTAAAAAAAAGATTAAAATTGCTAACATTTCGACAGCACTTAACCACATGCCCAGACGCTTCCCTGAGCTTCGCTCATGCCGTCTCCTTTAATCCTATGATCTGAGTCGATTACCATTTAAAAGAGAGGAAACAGAAGCCTAGAGAAGAGAAGCAGCAGTGCAAGCTGGAGAGCGGTGGACTGGGAATCCTAACCCGTCATCCCACTCCGGGTCCTAGGCCACTGTGGAGTACTGTCTTGCCAAGGATCTCCTTAGGAGGTACAAAGCTATTTTTAGAAGCTTGGAAACCAGGTGTCATGAAGACCTCAGACCTGAGTTGGAATCTCGGCTCTGGGGAGCGTAACCATGGGCAAGTGGCTACCTCTCCTATAAAATGGGAAGAAAGGTATTTTCTTCTCAGGAATGTATATGCACACAGCAGTCGGCTCACGTAAAGATTACAGCCTTGGAGAGCCTATGGGGCAGTTCTATTCTGTCCTGCAGGGTCTCTGTGAGTCGGAATCAATGGCAACGGGTTTTTAAGGAGTCCTGGTGGGCCAGTGGTTAAGCGCTCTGTTGCTAACCAAAAGGTCAGTGGTTCAAACCCATCCGCTGCTCCTCGAGAGAAAGGTGTGGCAGTCACTTCAGTAAAGATTAAAAAACCCTGTTGCTGTGGAGTCCATTCCAACTCATGGCAACCCTATAGGCTAGAGCAGAACTGCCCCATAGGGTTTCCAAGGAGCAGCTGGTGACTTGCTGCTTGCTACTTGGATCCACAACCAACGCGCATGGAAGCAGGAGTCAAATCAGAAGACGCATTGCGTTGGGCAAATCTGCAAAAGACGCCCTTAAAGCGTTAAAAAGCAAAGATACCGCTTTGAGGACTAAGGTGCGCCTGACCCAAGCCATGGGTACTTGTATGCAGTAAAGATTACGGCCTCGGAAACCCTATGCGGCAGTTCTGCTGTGTCCTATCGGGTCTCCACCAGTCGAAAACCACTCCACCGCAAGTGGTTTGGTTTTGGCTTTAAACCCTGAAGACGTGATGCTCCCACCCATGAGGGGCCAAGTGGGGAAGGGGAGAGGGGGCGTGCCCCTCCAGGTTTGTCAGCAGGGGGCGCGCGAGGGCCTCAGAGGAGAGGGCATGCGCATGCGCTCGGGGCCTCCAGCGTCTCCTGGGAACTTCAGGCGGCCCACCCGCGCCGGCTACTCCAGGTTGCGCATGCGCGTCTAGGTGCCGCGGTTGTGATTGGCTTTTCGGCGTCAGACCCGGTGTGCGCATGCGCAATGGTAAAGCTGGTGTCCCGGACAAGATGGCTGCTAAGAGGTTTGCTTCCCGCCTCAGAGGGTCCCGGCGCTTCTTGAGTGGCTTTGCGGCTGGGGCCGTAGTGGGCGCCGCGGGAGCGGGCCTCGCGGTCCTGCAGTTCCTTCGGAGTCACGGCCCGGAGGCGGCGTCGGCGGTGAGGGAGCCGGACGGTAAGGCCGCGGTCTGCTTTCCCTTCGCGCCGGCCTTCCCACCTCGCGCGTGGAGTGGGACCATGGATGCGCTACCTTCACCAACTTTCTTCTGGGGTCATCGTGCTTTTCTCCACAGAGCGCTCTGCTCCCCAAAGTAGTTATCAGGATATGTTTGTTTCAAGGAGCCCTGGTGGGGCAGTGGTTAAAGCGCTAGGCTGCTAACCGAAAGGAAGGTGGTTCGAACCCACCCAGCGGGAGAAAGATGTGGCAGTCTTCTTTTCTGAAGTTTACAGTCTTGTAAACCCAGTGGGGCGGTTCTTCTCTGTCCTACAGGGTCCCTGTGAGTCGGAATGGACACCAGGCAGTGGGTTTGGGTTTTTGGGTTTGGTTTGTTTTAATGCCTGTGTGAGCGCCACGAGAGTTGGGAGTTTGTTTCGTTCTCCATTATATACCCAGGGCAATATCTGGGACATAACTGGTAGTCAGTAAATATGGGTGAAAGAAAACCAAGGACATAAGGGAAAGATTAGTCCAAAGGACTCATGGGCCACATCTACCACGGCCTCCACCAGACCGAGTCCAGTACAGCTAGATGGTGCCCGGCTACCACCGCCGACCGCTCTGACTGGGATCACGACAGAGGGCCCTGGACAGGGCGGGAGGAAAATGAAGAACAAGATTCTAACTCAAAGAAGACCAGATTTACTGGTTTGACAGAGACTACAGAAACTCCTAGAGTATGGTCCCTGGACACCCTTATGGCTCAGTACTGAAGTCACTCCTGAGGTTCACCCTTCAGCCAAAGATTAGACAGCCTCATAAAACAAAATGAGACTAAATGGGCACACCAGCCCAGGGGCAAGGACGAGAAGGCAGGAGGGGACAGGAGAGCTGGTAATGGGGAGAACAAGGTCGAGAAGGGGAGAGTGTTGACGTGTCATGGGGTTGGCAACCTATGTCACAAAACGATATTTGTATTAGTTGTTTAATGAGAAACTAATTTGCTTTGTAAACCATCTAAAGTACAACAAAAATATTCCAAATATACACTTTCCTACTTTAGGTTACTAAAAAGCCACAGATTTATCAGTTTCTTCTTTAAAAAAAAAAAAAAAAGGGATGAATGAATAAATTAACACAGTGTTAGCAGACTACTTCACTGTTCTCATTTTGTCGTCGTTTAAATGAAGACTACCAGCTAGACCTTCTTCAAAGTATGTAAATCCTCATGTTACCAAAAAAAACCTCTTTGCTGTTGAGTCGATTGTGACTCATAGCAACGCTGTAGGACAGAGTAGATCTGCTCCATAGGGTTTCCAAGGAGTAGCTGGTGGATTTGAACTGCCTGCCGACCTTTTGGTTAGCAGCCAAACGCTTAAACCACTGTGCCGCCAGGGCTCCTCAAGTTACCAAGGGTTCCTTACATTTGACAAAGGGAGCACATGCTCATTTCTTAGACTTTCCCTGACATGCCAATTTAACTTGCTCCTTTAGATACTAGAATGTATTTCTCATTTAGCAAGAGAGCTGTGCCGATGGGTTGAAGATAGGAAAAGGCAGCAAGAGGGGATTATCTAGAAACTGATTCCTGTTAAGTCTGGACTGGGTTCTCCCCCTGGGAAAAAGGCTACCAGCTTTACTACGTCTTGCCACAGCACACTTCTCAGTGCTTCACTAGCAGAACATCTAAGGGGGAGTGTCAGGGAATGATGGCCTTTGAAGAAGCTACAGCTTCAAGGCCGTGCTTTTGACCTCACACTCACTGTTAAAGTAGCTCTTCCCGTTCAGTCATAGCCGTGAGGATTGACAGTACTGACAGGAGTTTTCCTTTGATTACTGCTTTTGCATACACGGTCTGTGGGAGGCAGAGGCGTTTGGAAAGTTGAGGTGAAGGACCAGTAAGATCAGGTCCTTATGTAAAAGTTAATGACTTATCTGAAGTTTATCTTAATGTAACTACACAACTGATTGTAGGCAAAAGTAATACTTTGCTTACTGTCTGTTTTCTTTGCCTTATAAGTAATTGCAAAAATGACACCTGCTGGTTGATTAGACTTTTGAGCCAGTCTTTTGTAAATCTTGGCTCTCTCCTCTTCCTAGTAAGAGTCACTAATTTTGTTTTGTTTGTTTCCCTCTTTTCATTTTCAGGATCTGCAGGAAAGTCTGTCTTGGAACAGTTTGGATTCCCTTTAACTGGAACAGAGCCTAAGTGTTACACTAATCATGCCTTGTCTTATGATCAGGCAAAGCGGGTGCCTAGATGGGTTCTTGAACATATATCCAAAAGCAAGATAATGGGTAAGTGGTTGGAAAAAAAGTAGAGGTAAAGCATTGCTGTTTCTAAAACATCAGTGAAACTTCAAAACGCCTTTGAAGTAAAGGGAAAGATGTTTCAAAAATTTAGAGCAAGGAAGATTGTTGATAATATGTCAGCTTTTTTCACATCACGGCACATGTAGAAAACAATGATATTTGTATGGCTCACTGGGTAGATGGGCCCTGCCTGACAGCCAGGGGGCTCTGGATCCTTCCCAGCTGTCTCAGAGGCTGAGAGGATCCATTTCTTGGCACACCATTTGGGAGGTGCCAAATGTTGCTGCAACGAGTGTCATTTGCTTGTTACTTCAACAGATATTAAGTGCCTACTATGCGGCTGCCACTGTCCTAAGCACTGAGGATATGTCAGTGACTAAAGTAGATATAAGGAAACCTAGTGGCAAAATGACTAAGCACTCAGATGCTAACAGGTTGGTGGTTTGAACCCATCCAGCAGCTCCACAGGAGAAAGACCTGGCGATTTGCTTCCGTAAAGATTACCGCCTAGGAAACCCAGTGGGGGCAGTTCTACTCTGTCCCATAGGGTCACTATGCATCTGAATTGACTCGACGGCACCCAGCAACAACACAGTAGATACAGTCTTTGTTCCTCATGGCACTTTCAGATGGATGGGGGGGTTGACTTATCAAATAATCATGAATGTGTAATTATAATTGGTAATTGCTCCTCTGAAGGAATAGCAATTGGGAATTGGGATAAGTATAATGAACTAAAGAATGTGATGAGAGATTATAACAGGAGAACCTGATTTCAGTGATACAGTGAGGCTTCTCTAAGAAAGTGGCCCGAAGGGTGCTCGCAGAGGGGTGGGTGGACCGTGGGATATGGTGACAAGCATTCTAGGCAGAAAAGAAAGGCAGGGCCATCTACCCAGTGAGCCATACAAACATCAGCATTTACTGCACGTGCCGAGATGT